ACCCGGTGGGTCATCTAGTCCAACCCTCTGCCTTGCAGGAATCCCAGCTAAAGGCCTTAACAATGTCCTGGGCAAGGCAAAAGTCAAACAGTGTCACCGGTGCACAGATCACTTTCTTAACTGCCATGCTGCAGGGGTTTCGATGAATGTCTTTGGGCAGAGAGACACCTAAGTCAAAGGCCAACAGTCAGTGATGATGGCAGCTGAAGTCCAGATCATCTAGAAGAGAGAAGAGTTTGGATTTGATATCCCGCTTTATCACTACCCTAAGGAGTCTCAAAGCGGCTAACAATCTCCTTTCCCTTCCTCCCCCACAACAAACACTCTGTGAGGTGAGTGAGGCTGAGAGACTTCAGAGAAGTGTGACTAGCCCAAGGTTACCCAGCAGCTCCATGTGGAGGAGTGGGGAAGCGAACCCGGTTCACCAGATTATGAGTCCACCGCTCTTAACCACTACACCACTACACTACACACTACAATACACTACACACAGACCATCTTACACTTGAGCATTCCTGTCAGGGTGAGGGGTTGTTGCAAGACTAGCACTCCCCAGCTTCAAGGATCAGGTTGGCAAAGGCGGATGCAGAAAATAAAAGCATTTACAGTGGGTTACATACGCTTCAGGTTACAGACGCTTCAGGTTACACAGTCCGCTAACCCAGAAATAGTACCTCAGGTTAAGAACTTTGCTTCAGGATGAGAACAGAAATTGTGCAGTGGCGGTGCAGCGGCAGCGGGAGGCCCCATTAGCTAAAGTGGTATCTCAGGTTAAGAACAGTTTCAGGTTAAGAACGGACCTCCGGAATGAATTAAGCTCTTAACCCACTGTATCCAGCTTCCGTTCATTTAGAAGTTGGCCTGATGATCTCTGCTTTCAGCCCCTGTAAGTTGTTTAGATCTCTGTCTCTGTGTAAAGCAGCACACAAACAAACAGAAATCTCGAATGGGCAGATTGCATCCAGGTTCTGATAGGGTGATTTGTAAATGATGCTCAATTGGAGACCTACGCATAGTTGAACGAGAGAGAGAGAGAGAGAGAGAGAGAGAGAGAGAGAGAGAGAGACTTACAATCACATTAAAGCCCCATGCCAACCTCAGCCTGGCCTCGCCTGCCTGCCCCCTTCCAACCAGTCCATGGGGTGGCACTGCCAATCAAACTTGGGAGTGGGGGTGGAGAGGCAAAACTAGAATAAATCAGCTCTGTCATTGGCTCTGGCACCACCTACTGTTGGCCTCCTCTACTTCCGCACCACCAGTCCCAATGGGCACCAGCCACCACTGCCCAAAGCCCTACTGGGTTCTCACCAGCTAGACAGAAGCGTGGGCAGGGGCACAGAGAGACTGTTCTCGCACTCTGCCATTTTCCAGGGTTGCTTAAATTCAGACTTTTTATATTAAAAAGTTCATTTATTTAAAAGTTATTTATTTATTTGTTGCATTTTTATCCCATCCTTTTTCTCCAAGGAGCTCAAGGTGACATACATGGTTCACCCTCTCATTGTTTAATCCCCACAACAACCCTGTGAGGTAGGTTAGGGTGAGAGGTTAGGCCCAAGTCGAGCTTCATTGCTGAATATTTGACCCTTGGTCTCCCAGGTTCTGGTCTGCCACTCTGACAGTTATGAATTAATCTAAGGGTGTCCTCTAGGTCCCCCCACCCCGGGAGGTTCAGAGGTAGCGACAAAGGAGAGAAAGGCCTTTTCAGTGGTGGCTCCCTGTTTGTGGAATGCTCTCCTCAGTGAGGTCTGCCTGGTACCATCATTAACATCCTTTCAGTGCCAGGCAAAAACTGGTGTCTTCTCCCAGGCACTTGATCGACACTGAGAATTTTGTGCCTATTGATGGTGCAGTTTTGCTGCCATTTTGGTGGGCCATTTAAGTGTGGCAGCTCTGGGCCCTTTGGAACTCCCTGCCAATTGATATCAGGCAGGCTGCATTCTTCACTTTACACTTTTCAGAACCTTCTTTAGACAAATCTATCCAAACGCTTAAAATGTTTGTAGGAGTTATAAGTTGTTTTAGCCTATTCTGTTGTGGTTTGACTTTCTGCATCTCTTAGATAAAGGACTGTGAGTATTGTTTCTTTATTATTATTATTATTATTATTATTATTATTATTATTATTATTATTTTGTAAACCGTTTTGAGGCTTTCCCCCCCGACAATCAACTGGTACATAGATTTCATGAAGTAAAAATCATAAATAAAAATGGTCGGAGCCACAAACATTACGTATATACAGTAGGAAAGTTTCTATACATGCTGACACATACTCCCCTCTCTGCCCAGGTGAGTGGAGTTCAGAGTTCGAGGAAACATCCCAGCCAAGCTAAAAATATTTCAGGTGTGAAGCAGGACTTGTGGGGAGTGTTCTGAGGGCCAGAAAGAGAGGACTGGGGCAGTCGCACTTGTTCTGAATGAGCGTGATGAGCCCAATTTTGTTATCCTTTCTTTGTGGTTAAAAACAAATAAATCTAGTTGAGCAGCCCTCTGACCCTTCCTAGATAAAAGGTTGGCTGATGTATGGGGGAAGAAAGTCAGCGCAGAGAAAGCCCAGGGAGGTGTGGGGTGGAGGGAGCTGTGGGGAGCAGAGATACTAGTTTTCCGAAGCCAAGCACAGCACGAGCCTTTTTAGCAGGGCTCACCCCCTCCGGTTAATGATTACTGGCCTCTGCAGACAGTTCCAGGCCACTGCCCCGCGAGAAAAGGCAATTAATTCAAGACTAACAGGATTTCAGATTCATAACCGCCTTGGAAGATGCTTTCAGGAGGCGTGGAGCAGGGGTTGATTAAATATATTGGGGGGGCAGGGGGTGGAATTCCAGGTGGCTTCTAAAACAACAAGGGGGGGGGTGGATCAGAGTGCCAGGCTCCCGGTGGCAATGCCATCTCAAAAGAGATTCCTCTCTTGCACGCTTGTCGAGGGGGCCAAGGAAAGCAATCGACTGCCTGAAGCTGCAGGGCGTCCAAATCTACCCTGTGGTGGTTGTTGTTGTGGTTCTTGTTGTTGTTGTTGTTGTTTAATGATCCTCAACATGTTTAGGAATGTCCTCCTGTGTCTTTGGTCTCTTGCCTCCTCTTGCTTCTTGCCTGCTGCTGCATAGAATCATAGAATCATAGAGTTGGAAGAGACCACAAGGACCATCGAGTCCAACCCCCTGCTAAGCAGGAAACACCATCAGAGCACTCTTGACATATGGTTGTCAAGCCTCTGCTTAAAGACCTCCAAAGAAGGAGACTCCACCACACTCCTTGGCAGCAAATTCCACCGTCGAACAGCTCTTACTGTCAGGAAGTTCTTCCTAATGTTTAGGTGGAATCTTCTTTCTTGTAGTTTGGATCCATTGCTCCGTGTCCGCTTCTCTGGAGCAGCAGAAAACAACCTTTCTCCCTCCTCTATGTGACATCCTTTTATATATTTGAACATGGCTATCATATCACCCCTTAACCTCCTCTTCTCCAGGCTAAACATGCCCAGCTCCCTTAGCCGTTCCTCATAAGGCATCGTTTCCAGGCCTTTGACCATTTTGGTTGCCCTCCTCTGGACACGTTCCAGTTTGTCAGTGTCCTTCTTGAACTGTCCTTCTTGAACTGCTGCAGACCCTGACAGAAACAAAAACAAAAAACCAAGCTTTCTAGGTGTGTCCACACCATCCACAAACCTGAACTGTTTTGAAACCGGTTTAACGGCCATCATTTCACCAGGATGAACTCTGAGTTTCATGAGGATCCCAATGATTCTCGGTTAACTGGTCTGTTGCTACCAGATCCAGCTAAAATGAATGAATGGGGGGGGGACATGGGGCTTCCCCTCCCTCTCCCATTTGCTTATTTATTTGAATGACTTTTTTCAGCCAAAAGAAGAGAGGCTCCCACAGTAGATTCAGGAGACAGAGCTAATGCTGAGGCAATCCCTGCTGCCTCCCAATCGCTTTTCCTTTTGTGTCATGCTACGAGCTGCGTTCCTTAATTTTCTGTTGCGCCTTTCAGATTGTAAGCCTGAGAACAGGGCTTAGTTACCCGAGAAGAGCCCTACCAGATCAGATCAGAGGCAGGTAAAGGACCCCTGGACGGTTAAGTCCAGTCAAAGGCGACTATGGGGTTGAGGCACTCCTCTCGCTTTCAGGCTGAGGGAGCCGACGTTTGTCCACAGACAGCTTTCCAGGTCATGTGGCCAGCATGATCAAACCGCTTCTGGTGCAACGGAACACTGTGACGGAAACCAGAGCACACAGAAACGCCGTTTACCTTCCTGCCGCAGAGGTACCTATTTATCTACTTGCACTGGCATGCTTTTGAACTGCTACGTTGGCAGGAGCTGGGACAGAGCAACGGGAGCTCATCCCATCACAGGGATTTGAACCTCCGACCTTCCGATCAGCAAGCCCAAGAGGTTCAGTGATTTAGACCACAGCACCACCCGCATCTGGCCCAGCATTCCCAGTGGTCAACAAGGTGCCTCTGGGAAGCCTGCATTGCAGGGGGTTGGACTAGATGACCCACGGGACCCTAACTCTAAAACTCTATGATTCTAAGAAAGACTTGAGTGCAACAGCAACTCTCTCCAGCCATGATTCCCAACAACGGGTAACCTCTGACAGTGGAGACAGAACCTAGTGGTCCCTGCTTGGAAATTTTGGGGACCTTTCTAGGCTTAAGCAGTGAGCACTAACTAGGTCTGAGCTAGAAGTTCTCCTGAACACCATGTCTGGTTATGTTTGGAGTACCACAACCAACTCCTCTACTCTGCCATATTTTGTCAGAGTTCCTGGGAAGGAGAACACTTTCTCATGTCCAATGGAAAAGCATCAGCTCACATCCCTAAGTTCCACCTCCAGCATCTCCAGGTAAGTTTGGGAAAGCCGCCCATCTGAAAACCTGGAGCGCTGCTGCCAGTCAGTGCAGGCAGTACTACTGAGCTAGATTGACCTTTGTTCAGTAGGCAAGATTCTACCCACATCCCCTCTCCATCCAGGCAAGCAAGAGGCATTGTCAGAGTTCAAGGGCTCCTTGGCAGCAAGGCAAAAACATGGTAGAGCACGAGGCTCTTAATCTCAAGGCTGTGGGTTCAAGCCCCACATTGGGTACAAAGATTCCTACATTGCAGGGGGTTAGACTAGATGACCCTGGTGATCCCTTCCAACTCTACAATTCTATTATTCTACTGTAGTTCCTCAGTATGGCAGAGGGTGGTAGAAGCCCCTTATCAACAAACTGCAATTTCTAGGTTTATCCATAAACTCTTTCCTTGCTCTGGCTTATCTCCAGAAGAAATCCGCTCTCGCTTGTCGGATTAAGAACACTGATATTCAGTATTGCATATCCTTGTACTGGAAGGTTTGTTCCCTGCGCTGCATTTTTCCTCTCCCCCCGCACCCTGCATCTGCCAGTAAGCCATGTGAGATACTTGGAGAATCCAGTTATTCCTGAATGCAATTGGATTTTCACTGAAACTAGGTTTAATTGCTTGCCCTCTGCTGTATCGGATGCCCAGTTGTAGGGTACCCCTTACAGCCTGCCTCCCCATGCAAAGGGGGTTATGGAATCTTTGGCTCATGTGCTTTTCGCTTCACAAAGAAACCAAATTTGACTGCCAACTCCTATTCTCTCAGAATTTCCAGGTAGGACCTGAATGAAACCTGGCCTACCTTTCCGCAAATTCAAACAAATTATTAACAGAGACCGTGGCTAGATTTGTCTTTCGAGAGGAAATCGCTGCTTGATTAAATCTGCCCTGCCCAGCTGCTGTTCTCAAACATTGCCATTTTTAATTTGGTTCTAATTTTTTTATTTGCAACTGACCGGCTCTTAATTTCTATATCGTGTTGCATATCTTATTTTAGACATGCTTCCGACATTCCTGGTATTTTTTACCATTTATGTCTTACACAAGGTTCTCCTTGCTCTGTGGTTCATTTTATTTCCTTCGGGTCTGCGATGGCACAATGAAAAATCTCATTGGAGCTCAAGGAGGGTGCAAAGAAGGACTACTGTGGGTGGGTTACAGCCCAGGGGGAATTCTGGGGGCCAGATTGAGAGGTGTGGAGGGCCACATTCAGCCGCCGCCTGGTTAAAAACCATGCCTCCTTGCCTTGTCTTAGGTTGACCTGCCCAATGATCAGCCTCCTGCTTTCAACATAGGATTCCCCCATCCTCACTTTGCCCCTCCTTAGACTTCCATTTCAGCATTCGCTTGGCTTCCAATCAATCAATCCTTGCAGCCCATCCCCAATGAGCAGCTCCACCAATGAATGGTGGTCCTCCCTTTATCCAGAGACACCCATCTGTGTCCTTTACCCTTGGCAAAGGGTGGGAGATCCTCCATCCCACCCCCTCTTGGCACCTTGCCCTCTCAAGAGAGCTCTTGAATTGCTCTGGACCAGACCCTCAATCATTCCAACAACTCAGCTAAAGGGGTCTCTCCCTCTCTTTCTCTGCTCTTTTGTTTGTTCTTAGGAAGCCTCGCAGGAGATGGTTTATGCGAAGAAACCCTTCCAAAACAAAGCCATATATTGTGCTGGGCTTGAAATACTCTGTGGGGTGTTTGCTCTCTTTCTCCCTTTCTCTCTCCTTCGCTTTCAGAGCGCAAATGAATGATAACGGACCCCAGCGGGGGAAAGGAAATTGGCTCTCTAGCATCCTGCTGCTGCTGCTGTTATTCCGTGGATGTTGGTTGCAAAACAAGAGGAGAGAAGATGAAGGGAAAGGCCGGCCGGAGGGAAAGATGTCACACACAAACACGCAAATGCCTCCACTCCGCTTTCAGTATCGAAGTGTTACCGTTGTGCTCGCGTCCTCCTCAAGGGCTTCCCACAGGCATCTGGTTGGCCACTGTGGAAACAGGATACTGAACTCGATGGGCCATTGGCCTGATCCAGCAGGCTCTTCTTAGGTTAACAACTGTGGTTTTCTTTGATTAGGTAAATTCATGAAGGGGAAGGCTGTCAATGGCCGCCAGTCTCCGTGGCTAAGTTATATCTCCGCTGTCAGAGGTTTTAGGACTCTGAATACCAGTGGCTGGGAGTTGCAGGTGGGCAGAGATCTGGGGTCCTGCTGGTGGGCTTCCAAACTGGGGCTTCCGTTTGACCATTGTGAGAAGCCAGTTTCTTCATATGCCTCCGTCCAGTATATCTGAAGGAGCGTCTCCACCCCCATCATTCTACCCAGACACTGAGGTCCAGCGCCAAGGGCCTTCTGGCGGTTCCCTCACTGCGAGAAGCCAAGTTACAGGGAACCAGGCAGAGGGCCTTCTCGGTAGTGGCACCCGCCCTGTGGAACGCCCTCCCATCAGATGTCAAAGAGAACAACAACTACCAGACTTTTAGAAGACATCTGAAGGCAGCCCTGTTTAGGGAAGCTTTTAATGTTTGATGCATTATGGTATTTTAATATTTTGTTGGAAGCTGCCCAGAGTGGCTGGGGAGGCCCAGACAGATGGGCGGGGTATAAATTAATTATTATTATTATTATTATTATTATTATTATTATTATTATTATCATCATCATCATCATGCCCTTATGCACCCAGTGCACACACAATGCACCAGCCCAAATCTGAGGATCTAGTCAGGGCAAAAATTGATATTCGGCTCAGAGACTTGTAGCTAGTACGAACTGGAGGGGAGCAGGGGAACTGTGGGATAAAATGTCAATGCAAACCATAGGAGCCAACTCCTAGGTCCCTTCCCTCCCCCCCCCCCACGATAAAATATTTGAGAGGGCCCAAAGTTGATAGGCATTGCCATTCAAATCAATCTTGTGACTGATTATGCAGGGTGGGGCTTACTAACTCTCCCCCCCACACACACACACATTTTATTTAAGATGGCACTGCTGATGCAAATCTACCCAATTCTCATTTTCTGATGCAAGAGAGCCAGTGTGGTGTAGGGGTTATAGAGTCAAATTAGGACCTAGGAGATTGGGGTTTGAATCACCACACAGCCAGGAAACACAATGGTTGTGTGGCCTTCGGCCAGTTACTGCCTCTCAGCCTAACCTACCTCAAAGGGTTGTTGTGGGGTTTAAATGAGGAAGGGGCGAACCACAGATGCCTCCTTTGACCTCCTTGGAGGGGGAGGAAAACTGAGATATAAATCCAATAAATAAATACAGTAAAATAAATACTACAATGCCACGCCTCCACCTGTCGTTGGCTCTGGCGCCACCTACTGTTGGACCTCCCTGCTCTCCGGTCCTAATAGGCACCAGCCACTGCTAATTTACAGCCAATGCAGCGATGCTCATAGGCCACTTTCCCATTTGCGCTGGAACAGGAAACACCGTCTCCCCCTCCTCCTATTTATACAGCTTACCTCAGGAATAAACCAATGCCTCTTGTTAGAAACAATAAATCCCCACAAACATCCAGTGCACATCTGTAACCTCTGGAAAGGGCACCCTCCGACCGTCCGCCAGCTGTGCTCTCCTCTCCGAGTGGCCCAGGCCCAACTCGCCTCTCTGCCTGGGCTGCGGATGTGTTTGCATCTGCCTGGGCCGCACTGACTGTTTACTGTATTCATAAACAAATTGCAGCTATAAAAGGCTCCAGAAATAGCCTGGGTTGAAGCAAAAAGGGGGTGAAGAGGAGGAGGAGGAAACAGAATCACTCTAGTCAGCTTTCTGGGCTCTCGCTCTCTCCCGTGAAGGCCTCATCACATGGCAGGAACGCACAAGGCTTGTAGGCTGTGCTGGCTGTTGCCACATCTCAAGGTTGGGCCCGACGTTTCAGAGTTCTGCAGCACAATCCTTCACACAGAAAGCCACTTTACACTGTGTGATCCATCTAGCTCAGTTTTGCCTACACTGGCTGGCAGCAGCTCTGCAGGAGTCCCTCCCAGCCCTGCCTGGAGATGCCAGGGACTGAACCTGAGACCTTCCACATGCAAAGCTGGTCTCTTCCACTGAGCTATGGCTCCTCCCCTCAGGCTATTTGTCCATCTACCTCAGTACTGTGTGCTCTGACTGACAACATATCCTGGGGGTCTCAGGAAGGGAACCTCTCTTAGCTCTCCCTGAAGGAGCTGGAGATGGAGCACGGGAACTTCTGCATGAAATACAGAATCCTGTCCACATGTTTATTAAGAAATAACTCACACTGATCTTATTGGAACTTGTCCCATTGAGCAGCCTTCTCCAAGGTGGTGCCCACCAGATGTTTACCCTAAAGGTAAAGGTAAAGAGACCCCTGACCATTAGGTCCAGCCACAGACGACTCTGGGGTTGCGGTGCTCATCTCGCTTTATTGGCCGAGGGAGCCGGCGTACAGCTTCCGGGTCATGTGGCCAGCATGACTAAGCTGCTTCTGGCGAACCAGAGCAGCACACGGAAACGCCATTTACCTTCCCGCCAGAGCGGTACCTATTTATCTACTTGCACTGGCATGCTTTCGAACTGCTAGGTTGGCAGGAGCAGGGACCGAGCAACGGGAGCTCACCCCATCACGGGGATTCAAACCGCCAACCTTCTGATCGGCAAGTCCTAGGCTTTGTGGTTTAACCCACAGCGCCACCCATGTCTAGCCTACAACTCCCATTAATGCTGACCATTGGCCATGTTGATGAGGGCTGAGGGGAGCTGTAGTCCAAACATCTGGAGGGCACCAGGTTGAGGAAGGGTGCCCTAGAAAGCCTGCATGGGGTTGCAGCTCAAGTCTTCTTCTCAAGGTCTCCAGAGGAAGAACTAAAATCTTAAGCGAGGAAGGCAGCCCAAAGTTAACTAAGGGAACAGACTATTTCCTGCTGGCTTGAGGGTGTTTGCTATTCGCTTCAAAGAGAAGACACCATCAAACGGAAGATTGTCCTCTGTAATCACATGGCCACCTTAGCAACCAGGTCTGGAAACCACAAATTAATAATAATAATAATAATCTTTCATTTCAAGAAGAAGAATATACTGTCATTTCAGGAAGAAATGCCAAGGTATCTCACAAACAAAAGCAAACAGCAAAATGACAAGAATAGCATTTTTTTAAAAGAAGAATCTCCCAGTAATTAAAATACATAGTAAAACATGTTAAGACATGCGTAATTCAAATATAATGGATTGTATCCAATGAAGTCCATCCTGAAATTAATGCACCCAAGGTAG